AAACGCGCGATTTCCTCCATCCTCAGGCGCCGGTCTCAGGCACCCGCCCACCGGTCCCGCAGGGAAAAACACGGGATATTCTTTGTCCTCAGGCGCCGGTCCCAGGCACCTGCTCACCAGTCCCGCTGCCCTGCCTCCCTAGCAACGGGGGCCCTGTTCCTTTAAGGCTTCCAAAAAGCACTCGCCAAAAAAAAAAACCGCTCCGGTTTCTTTCCACCTGCTGGGAGCCGGGGGGAGGGGTGCTCGGGTCCCGCCGGACCGGGGCTTGTATCTTACCCCCTTCGCAAGGCACTGGGTTCTTGCAGGTGTGGATGTGGTCTGTATGTTGTCTTGTGTCCTGTGGTCTCTATTTTAGGAAGATTTTTCTTTGTTATATTTTCATAGCTCTATGTGTTTTCAGGAGGAGATTTCCACTGCTCTACTCACGCCGCCATCCTGGCTCTGCCTCCTTCACATATTCTTAAAAAAATTACTGTATGCTGGGTACAGTGCTAGTCACTGATGATACAAAAATGATATGGTCCCTGAATCTGGTATGGGAAGGACCACAGTGATGTGCTCTCTACTTTTATTGTTACAGGTGTTCAGGGATTTGGGGACTGAAGTACTGTCTGGTGCTGCCAAAGGCTACAACATATGCCTTTTTGCCTATGGTCAGACAGGCTCTGGGAAGACATACACCATGCTGGGGACCCCTGTGAGTACTGGTATTGGAATGTGGTATCTTCCTAAAGCTACTGCAAGCCTGAATGTTGCCTTGTTCTTGCCACTGAAAGGTAGAATGTGAGTTTCCTAGTCAGTCAACTTTGATAAGATTTAATGGACCCTCTTCTGTATTAAGAGTGGATTTCTCAGCACTTAAATTGAAAGGTAAACTTGGATTAATTAGCCCCTCTTATTAAACTCTGAAGGTCCTTAGAATTTTACAACTCGCTTTGATGAAGCAGACCTTGTCAGTCCTTCTGAATTTCTCGGATCATTTCTAAGTTCATCCCTTGAAATGTTTTAGTAATTTTGCTGTGATCAAGACTGGGGCTGAATATTAAGTGCGAGGTAGGGCTATGCAGAAATTGGGCAGTGTTTGTTAGACCTGGGAGTTAGAAATAAGCAGGAGAACTGTTATTGGGATGGAAGCTTGCAGAAAGAGGGTAGGACTTATGAAAGCCTCCCTTTATTATGGAAAATTAGGAAGGGAGAGTTCTTAATACCTCTTTGTTTTAGGTTTGAAAGTACCCTGGTGAGATAAACTGGTGGGGCTGGTGACAACACTTCACAGGGACATTCTCTAGGACATGATTCCTCCTGAAAGATTAGTCCTGCTGCCTGTTGCTTACTATGTCCATGTTTAGTGTGATTTCATGTATTTGAAATTAAGAGAAAAAAATGCCCACTAACCTGAAACATATAAAGCACTTAACCTGAGCATAAGTTAGCACTGGATCCAGGATGAAAAAAGAAGCCACATCTCTCTCAATGTGTATTTTGAACACCCACATACTGTAGTCCTCCTGTGTGTGCAGGAATGGGAGGTAGGGTTCTGGGTGGGACCACAGTGGTAGAGGGGGTTTATCCAAGAAGGATGTAACCTTCACTGCATGAAAGCAAGTCTCTGAGCTTGATAGCCTCTCCTCTCTTACTTCTCACAACTTCTCCTGAGCGCCATGACCAGTAGTTTTCTGCTTACTACCAGTGAACCTGCCTGAAGTGAAGAGGGCATCACAAGGAGCAAATGTGCCTATCTTCCTGCTGAGAATGGTTTCTGGGTGCTGGGGGAGAGCATCTCCATGCAAGAACAGTGAAGATTTCCTTTTATCTGTTTTCCAGGCCTCTGTTGGGCTGACGCCACGTATATGTGAGGTATAGACTCTCTTTTGACTGGATCCTCTCAAAGTAGGTTTCCTCTGTTTACTTCCTTCAGTGAAACTCCAGCCCTCCATTTTGTGCAGGGTCTCTTCATCAGAGAGGAAGACTATCCCCCACTGCCTTCCTCCTGTAGGATAAAAGTAAGGTAAGGACCCATCAGGCTCTTGGGCCTAAAATTTTTCTATTTGTACTCAAAATTCTAGCATGTTCAATTCTAGCATTACTCATCCAGAGGAATGGAGAAAAACCATCTTGCAGTACAGGGAGGTCTTTGGGGTATAGGAACCTTAATTCCTATCGTCAGGTTTAACAACGAGGTGAGTCCTGTGGACCCATTTCCCTGTCTGTATGGCTTCCTTTCCTTCACTCTCCATATAGTTTCATACTAGGTTTTGGAATTTCTCTTCCAGCCCCCTGCCGGGTTGTTCTCTAGGTCAGTAGTTCCCAAACTCTAGTTCCCAGACTACTGCTGGCTACTCCAAGATGAAGTTTTAACCACTAGTTAGTGATAATGTTGGTGGAAGATTACCAATTGCCCTTAATTTTCTGTATTCTATTTATTTTTGTTGTTGTTCAAGTTCTTTTCTAAAAAAAAAATCTTTAAAAAATGAGGTATAATTCACATGTTTATTCATACTTTTAAAGTTCATACTTTTAAAGAACTTTTAAAGTTCAGTGATTTTTTTATATTTATAAGGTTTTCCAATATCCATCCTCATTTTCTAATTCCAGAACATTTTCATCACCCCCAAAAAGAATAAATGAGCTTTTAAAAAATTAAATGATTATGAACATTATTTTTATATTTTTTAAGTTTTCAAAGTAAAAATTTGCAAATCTGTGTGTTGTGGGTATGTATAACATACATATATATGAAATGTTTGTCCATGAACTCTTGAAACCACTATTCTAAGAGGAGACATCTGGGGTTCCATGTCCAAATATAAGAAAGTTAAGGAAAAACTGTTGATAAGGAGAATGTGCATAGAGTTCAGCTTTGAGCTGCGGTCTTTTTTTTCTGGCTGCTGGCTCCGCAGGCAAGCATTCATGTTCTGGAGAGGAAGATCTTTGTGTGAGAAAGTCAGCTTTTTTGTTTAACAAAAGTTCACTGATTTTAATTAAGAATTTCAGCTATGTTGTTATTTTAAAAAGGAATAAAATGCCAGTTCGTAGTGTAAGATACAGCATATCTTAAACAGAACTCCAGTGTATATAACAGGTAAAATGGGAACTACCCTACTTAAATTATGGATGGGGACCAGAATGCTTCTCACTTAGCTTCCCTCATTGCTCAGCAATAGCCCTTGAGGTGCCTCACAGAACAATAGAGCTCAGAGATCACATTTGAAAACCAAGAAACAAACCTGCAGGCTCTGCTCTGGTGGCCTAAGGCACAGGCCGGTGGCGGCAAACCCTAAAACCATGCCAAAGTGGCCTCTTGAAGAAAGAATTTGAATCAGCACTGAAAGTGTAGACCTGAAACTGTGAAGTGATGACAGCCAATGCAGAAACCCTGTTGTACACATGCAGAAAGAGACTCAAAGGGGATCCCTGTGCGATCAAGGTCTTAGAGTGTCCGAGTAGAACTAGAACCAGAACTAGGACCTTCTGATTCTTGGCTTAGTGTTTTTCTCACTTTTTTCAAAATCTAATTATTTCCTTTTTTCACAATCTAATTTTGAAAAGATGTCATCATCTTTCAAAATCTAATTAAGTGCTTTTTTCTACATGTTTTCAGTTTTCTGGAAATATATAATGAACGTGTGCGGGATCTGTTGAAGAGATCTGATCAAAAAAAGTCCTATACCCTGCGGGTCAGGGAGCACCCAGAGATGGGACCCTATGTCCAAGGTGAGCCACTGTGGTCCTGGAGGCCTGAGACCAACCTGAAGCCTGGGAATTTTCCTAATGGTCAGTAATTCATTCAACAAATGTATAATGAATACTCACTGTATGCCAGCTGCTGTACTAGATGTGAGATATGTACCAATAAATAGAAAAGACAGTCCTGCTCTCACACACAAACTGACAGTCTAGTGAGAATGAGTCGGAAAACAAGAACTTAATTACAGTTGAGATAAAGGCTAAAAAAATAAATAGATGTAGTGATGGAAAAGAACACTGGGCAGTGTAGGCCACCCATCTGCATGGGTGGTTAGCTTCTCTGAGGAGGTAACATTTTAAGTTGAACCCTGATGGGATACAGGAGCCATGTAAGGGATATATGTGAAGAGTGGCATAGCAAGGGTAAGAGTGTTTGAGGTAGAGGGAACAGCATGAGCCAGAGCCCCGAGAGAAGATTGGTGGTTTCAAGGAGGTCAGCATGTCTAAAGCATGGTGAAAGAGGAAGAAAGTGGCATGGAAGAAGTTTGCATCTGTGGTGCCAGATCCAGCAGGGCCTGGCCTGACACCCAGGTCAGCCAGTCTCTTTTGGGGGGTATTTTCTCTTCCATTGGTGGTGACAATCAGGGAGATGGGGAGATGTCAGACATTGGGCAGGGTCTGAATTGCTTTCTCATCAAGCAATGATATTTGGTGTTTGGTACCATCTGCTTAGTTCATGAGGCTAGTCTTGCTATTAAGTACCAACAGGTGCATTCTTTTGTGGAGTAAGTTTTCACCCTTTCAGGCCACTTATAAGGAGTAAACATATAAATGGTATGTTGCTATTCCCTAGGCAATATGCTAATTTAATTCTGACAAGGAGATGGAAGTGAAAGATCAAGATCTGGTCTCTTTACTGATGAGGGCATGGCTAATAGATGACCCAGTAGGTGTGCCAGTCACTGATTCTGCTGCCTGTGCCTTTTCCCAAATGTTTCATTGTAAATGGCAGCCTGGAAACAGCAACACAAATGTACTTTGCTGGAAGCTATTTGGAGTTTGGTCCGTAAAACTGTGTGGATATACATTGCTGTGTCAAGCAGTACTTTGGAGGTGGACCAGGAGTTGATTCAATAGTGTCAGAATTTTTCATCTTTTTATTTATTTTAAAGTGTTTGTATGTAGATGTGGGGTGGGGGGAGTAATTAGAGGAGACCTGAGACATAGTTCGAATGTCCTCATTGCACAGAAGGTAAAATGAAGTTTGGAAGAAGTTAAGGGACATTCCCAAAGCCACGTACCTAGTTGGGGCAGGGTTGGAGCTGGGAACCTTGCCTAGGACTGGCAGAAAGGAGAGACAGAATCCTGTATGTTGAGGAGACCTACAGTGATAGGTTCTTTGACTGGCATGGTGTCTGAAACCCAGAGAAGGTAACTCATGCAAGATCAGTACAGTTTGGGTCATATATCCAAGGTCAGTGACAGGAACAGGACTAAAATCTGTGGGCTCTTTTGGATGCCAATTCTAAACCAGCGAAAAGCCTCTTAGGTTCTTTTAGTTACATGTTTCTTAGAGTTGGTCTGGACATTACTCAAATCATTGCAAATTCAGGTGAACATTCCTCCTATTTCTTAGTGAAAGAGCTGTGAGTTCAAGTAGTATAGAGTTAGCCTTGGAAGCTGTAGCTCCACTGGCAGGAAGGGTGTTCCTGGCCCAGGCAAGTTCCTTATGAATCCGATGAAACCAGTGGAGGACAAGGGGAAGCCAGGTTGGGAGAAGGAGTTTTAATTGCTCACAGCTTCCTGGATTTTGCGAGCTCTGTCTGTCCCCTCCAGCTGTGACTCACGGCTGTCTCCCCCACCCCCCGCCTGCCTTTTCCAGCAGGAACACCATCGGTGGGGCTGTGGTGACTGCCTGGCACCAGACCAATTAGGTACCAGAAAGGGAGGGGAGGAGATAATGGCTGTTTTTTTTCCACCCTTTGCCCTGGATCAACCAGAGGCTCTGCTGCAGTAAACACACAGTGGTATGTAAATGGACTAAGGCCAGGAAGGAAATTCTGTAAACGCTGGGTGAAAACTTCCATTTACCCCGCAGAAGCTAAGACCCTGAATAGTCACACTGAATTGTGTTATTCCCATCACTACCCTCTGGTGACATTATAGCAAACTTTTCATTTTCAGTTATTAAATGTTTGCTTTCTTTATATTGTCCATCTGCCTGTAGGCCTCTCTTTATGTGTGTCACACACACACACACACACACACACACATATATATATATATTCAGGCTTATACATTCTTGTGAATATAATTCCCAAGTGAAAAAGCAGTTTCTGCTTTTAAATCAGTTCTAGAGGAATTTATTGAGTATCTACTAGATGTCTATACTATCCAGGGTACCATGGGAAATGTGAAAATAGAAGGCCTTTAAAGAATTTGTAATTCCAGTTCAGAATTATGAGCTGGAATTTGATAGCTGCCTTAATCCAAGTAAAGGACATGGATAGTCTGTTACTTTCCATTAAAAAGTTGATTAATTAGATGAGAGATTCAGCTGAAATGTGCAGGATCCTGCCCAAAGTGCACACAAGAGGCCACTGGCCACTGGCCACTGGTTCCTGGGCTGAAAGTGATCTCTAAGTGAGACAAAGACAATTATTGTATTTTAGATTTGGCCTTTATCTTAACAAGGGATGGGTACAAAGCAGGAGGAATTAGAGGTAGGTAGTTAGGACTCTGCAAAAATTATTTTGTATTTTCTGTATACTTAGTCTGAGGATTTTTTTTTTCCTTTTTAATTCTTACACATTTTTTCTCCCTTGCCTTTTGCACTGAATAGGACCTCCTCTAGTGCCATATTAAGTAAAAATGGCAACATTATTTAGTCTTGCTCCCAGGGAAATGCTTCAGCATACTACCATTAAGTGTGATGTTTGTAATAGCCTTTGTTTTTATATAAATACTCTATCACTCACTCAGTTTGCAAATTGTCTGTAGTGAAGGACCAGTTTTTTTAAGACTTTCCAATCTGTGGCAAACCAATACTTCAATCAAATAAATATAATTACTAGGAAAGTAAAAATGACATCTTAATTATGAACCCAAATTCTTTACTAGATTCAAAAGAAATAAAATCACTCTTTCATATTGTTATAAAAATTTCTAACACTCAAATTTCTATACTTAGTTCATGGTACACGAATAACAATATGAAAACTGGCTCCCCTCTGTGGGCCAACTTTGAAAAGCACTTAACTGCCTTAGCATATCAAGGGAATTCTCTTTTTTTTCTTAGTTTTCTAAGTATTTATTTTCAAATTTTGAAACAAATCAAACTGGAAGATGTTGAAGGTACAGTAGAATGAACTTTTTTTTTAGTCATTTAGAAGTAAATTGCCAACCTAATGACCCATTTCTTCTGGTTATTTTAGGATGTTTTTTCTATGGATAAGAATACTCTCCTATAGAATTATAACATAATCATCAAAATCAGGAAATTAACTTTGACACATTACTGTAATCTAATTATTAGGACCAACTTAAGTTTCCCTAATAGTCCCAATAATTGTCCATTTGAGAATCACGGATTGCATTTAGTTAGGGGTATTTCTCTAGTGTTCTTCAGCCAGAAGGCTTCCTCAGTCTCTCTTTGATTTTCATGAACTTGGTACACAATTTTGATTTCTCCCTTTACTCATGACTTTTTTAAAGGTATCATTGATATACACTCTTATGAAGGTTTCACAAGAAAAACAATGTGCTTATTACATTCACCCATATTATCGAGTCCCCCCCATACCCCATTGCAGTCAGTGTCCATCAGTGTAGTAAGATGCCACAGAGTCCCTGTTTGTCTTCTCTGAGCTACACTGTCTTCCCTGTGACCCCACACACCATGTGTACCAATCATGATACCCCATAATCCCCTTCCCCACCTGCCCTCCCCCACCCCTCCCCTTTGGTAACCACTAGTCCCTTCTTGGAGTCTGTGAGTCTGCTGCTATTTTGATCCTTCAGTTTTGCTTCATTGTTATACTCTTCAAATGAGAGAAATCATTTAGTACTTTTCCTTGTCTTTCTCTGCCTGACTTATTTCACTGAACATAATACCCTATAGCTCCATATTGTTGCAAATGGTAGGATTTGTTTCTTTCCTATGGCTGAATAGTATCCCATTGTGTATATGTACCACATCTTATCCATTCATCTGCTGATGGACACTTAGGTTGCTTCCATATCTTGGCTATTGTAAATAGTGCTGCAATAAACATAAAGGTGCATATTGTCTTTTTGAATCTGAGAAGTTGTTTTCTTTGGGCAAATTCCTAGGAGTGGAATTCCCAGGTCAAATGGTATTTCTATTTTTAGTTTTTTGAGGAACCTCTATATTGCTTTCCACAATGGTTGAACTAGTTTACATTCCCACCAGCAATGTAGGAAGGTTTCCCTTTCTCCGCATCTTCACCAGCATTTGTTGTTCCTAGGCTTTTCTATGCTGGCCATCCTAACTGGTGTGAGATGATATCTCATTGTGGTTTTAATTTGCATTTCCATGATAATTAGCAATGTGGAGCATTTTTTCATGTGCCCGTTGGCCATCTGAATTTCTTATTTGGAGAAGTGTCTGTTCATATCATCTGCCCATTTTAATAGGGTTATTGGGTTTTTGGGTGTTGAGGCGAGTGAGTTCCTTATATATTTTGGATGTTAACCACTTGTCAGATATGTCATTTACAAATATATTCTCCCATACTATAGGATACCTTTTTGTTCTGCTGATGGTGTCCTTTGCTGTACAGAAGCTTTTTAGCTTGATGTAGTCCCATTTGTTCATTTTTCAAGCTTTTTGAATTTACTGAATCTCTTTTTTTGGCCTAATATATGATCTATTCTTGAATATGTTCCACATGCACTTGTGAAGAATATGTATTCTGTTGCTTTTCGGTCCAACTGTTCCAATACATTGTTCAGTGCCTCTGTGTCCTTACTTATTTTCTGTCTGGTTGATCTGTCCTTTGGAGTGA